ATGTGCTTGCCTGGACTCACACTTTCAGTTTATTTTGACATGGGTCCTGAACAGGTTGACAGAGGAGAACCTGCATACTGTTCACATAATGTAGGTAACATCTGAAGTTCAAATAGCTACGTAGTTAAAAGCATTTATCGTAGCATCTACTAAAAGGAAAAACAAACTAACTAGGCAAACATCAGCAAACAGGCTAAACCTAATACATGTACACAATTGGAAAGCCTAACAAAGAGACAATGTGCAACAATAACCCTGTCCCCTTTTGTTTGGCTAATTTCAATAAGCATAACAATGTGAAATGCTCTTGCGTTGGCCCTGTTTTGTCCTATTCTGCACTTCCTGCCCAATCCAGTCATTCACAGTATTAGTGATGACCCCAAATGTGATTTACCCATTTTGTCCTGTCCTCTCATCTTCTACCTTTTGTAAAACTGCTCTCCTGATCTGAAGCAGATTTAGTGTGACCGTATTGTGCTTCCATATTCTTATAGCACAAGTTACATTTCACACAGAAAAATGTCAGGCACAGGAGAGATGGAGAGTGCGACAGCGCCTAGGAAATTTGAGGAACCGTAGAGGGAAATAGTGACGAGTGGCTGAGAATAGATAAGGGAGATAAGGATGGAATACTTCAACAAAGTCAAGATGGAGACAGGGAAGAGGAAGCAAGGATGTTGCTACAGGCAGTGCAAGAGCCTTGCTTCCTATGGGGGTTGTGTACTGATGAAAACCTTCAAGTTCAAAGTAAAGGCATGCTATGGCCTTGAGACACCAGACTCTGCAGTTTCACCCCTTGTTTGATTGTTTGTTGCAGGTTTATACTGCAAAGTGCCTTCAGTTGATGTGGGAGACTCTGCTGCAGAAACGTATCTGTGAATATTCAATATACTTTCTGAGCTAACAAGAGGATAGTTGAAGCATAAGTGGGATTATTGAGTGTTATCGTGTTTCTCAGATTTTCTACCACTTCAACACAAACAGGTCTTGTTGCAAATAAGAACTTTTTTGTTTTATGTCTTTCTCTTTTGAGTCTGGACCCTCGGTTTCTTACACCTTGATAATGTTAACTTTCTATCACACTGGACAACTATGCAAACAAGTATGAATAAGACTGTCTGTTAAGATAAAGGTAGACATAATGATGTTGATGGGCTCACACATCACAGTGGAAAATGTATTTGGTTAAAGTTTAAATAGGATTTGTAAGTACCATCTGTGTGGGTGTTCTGCACTGTTATTGTATCCACAGCGAACACCCCGGCGTTTCACACTTTCAAAGAACCACAGGATTACTTTGTTCACAGAGTAGGTGGGCGTCAACCAATATAAAGAATTCACATTTACAAACTTTTACCTCTTTAATGTCACTATGAAGAGTTGGGAACTTTTGGGGTCCTTTTGCATTCCAGCCCCATTGCCTTCATTAGGATAAGTTGTGTGGATGCAGGGATACTGAGCCATGCTTTGCAATTGTAGGGATACTTAGTGGTTACTTATGGCCTGTGTTACACCTTACATCAGTCTTCTCTTTAATTAGTTTATTTTGTTTTTTTTGTGGGGAAATAAATTCTCCACTCTATCACATCACGTTATAAAAATGACTAAGACAGGCAATAACAAGCGTTGTACAGGGATGTTTCAGGGGTTTAAGGAGGTCTTTTATGCAAACTTGGCCATTACCACATTGCTGTGTTCCTCACTGCCCAATAAAAACTAAGGTTGCAGAAGAGGGTCCCCTTAAATCACTATGATTTACCTGTGTGTGTGTGTGTGTGTGTGTGTGTGTGTGTGTGTGTGTGTGTGTGTGGGCTGTTCTGTTACTGCAGAAGAGGCCGTCTGAGTGCCGCAGAGCGTGTACTTGAGAAAGGACACCTGAATTTGTAAATCAGAATTGCTCTCTTTCTCTCTGGGCTTTGCTGTCTGTTCTATTCTAGTTAGCATTATTATTTATCTCGGTTTTTAACTGTTTGTTAACTCCTTCCTTTCATTCTGTTTGACCTTTTTCTCTTCATCTGTTATCTGCACTTCTTGTGCACAAACTTCGCCCCAGCTTTACTCCAGATTTATGTTCTGTTTGATTCATTGCATTTGATTAATCTTTAAGTTATTTTTTTCATCCAAACTTGGATCAACAATGCCCCTTTGATATGGACCATATGTTTCTATAACCAACTCTTTGAACTCGACCTGGTAATTATTCTTTTCAAAGTAGTCTGCCAATTTGTATCTAACTATTACCTTCTGTTGTTTTTCTCAAATGTCTGAGGATGGAAAACACTACAGAATATTTTTGTATGATTAGAGATTCAGCCCTAATTAAGCCGCTCTACATAAACCCGCACCACCATGGTGGATACACAACACCATAGCATTACACTTGTTTTTTTTTCACAGCACCACTATGTAGGAAATGTTGCTGGAATGGAAATTCTCACTCCTTTTAATTAGATCAACAATCTGTGAGAAGTCTTGTATTGTTTATCCACACATTAGAGCCCATTAGAAAGCACACTGTTTGATGTTTTGGCAGAGCACTGTGATGGGTCTTTATTTATTTTTTAGACATGAAAGGACACAGAGACTGAGCTTTTAAAGTGCAGATTGTTTGGCTATAATTCAGGTGTTTTAAAAAACCATAACGTGATGATATGGGCATGACAGGAACTGTCTCTGTGTTCTGTGGGGGAGGAAATACAACATTTAGAGACATGCAGTATTCCCACGTTTTTTTAACCAAATAGAAAAAGGTCAGCTTTGCTTTTGTAAGTGGCTTCACATAATTATAAAGGTAAAAAGCCTTCTTTAAACCAAACCCTAATCATGCATACCATTTTCGGATGCAGAAGTTCAAAGTGAGTTGGCCCTGTTATCCTTTTAGTCTTCGGTCCTTGTTCATCTATCATAATTACCTCACTCTGTATACTACACCTCCTCAAACTAAATTGGAGCCCAACATAGTGGCAGATAAATGCTAATAGAATCCTTTCCTACTTTGAAATGCATAAAAAGCCAGTAATAGCACCTCACAGTAAGATGTTCAAATCTGGTGGTGTTCAGAACGGTGGAAACTTTCTCAAGCCATCGCACCAACACCATTTTCCAACCGCATAGTGTAATTAGTGCTACTCTGTTTTGACTGCAGGAAAATTAATACTTTATTAAATATAATTTGTCCATCCAATTACGCATTAATGGTGTGTCCAATGCACAAAAGGGATTTGATTATTTTTTCTTATGACCCAACATGTACTCCAATTTCTGGCAGTACAGAAAGTACTGATCTGTGCACCAGAAAAACACAAGGAGCCTCCAAGGTGTTAGTATATGTTGCATCCTGTGATGTAGATTGACACCTGTAGCACCCACTAGAGGTGTCATCCAGACAGAAATAGGAGTCATGTAACACAGCCGATACGGCACAATTCAAGCAGAAAGTACAATACAATTACTGCTTCTCTGGAGTGTTGATGCAGGTCCACACTGGGGAAATATGACAGGGGTATATGTTGACAAAATGACCAATGTCAACTCGCAAAGGCGTGTGTGGCCTTTGATTGATAGATCGTTTTTCATACCTCACCAAAGGATAAGTTGGGATGATTTAGACTCCCCCTCTTTAATTTAATTTCAGCTTTATTGTAATATGAATAAGAACCTCTGTATTGAATGAGCATGCCACGGTTATACTGTACTTAATAATTTTGCTGTTTGCTACTTCATACACAAAATCATTTTGGGGACAATTTTAACAAAGTGATAACATTAGTTTTAATTTGAATTTGAGTGCACAAACACATAAAAACATGATCCCATTCATGCACAAACAAGCACATGGACATCTTAATAAATGCATGCATGTATGCACTATACACAGACATGCATATTGACACCCATCTTGCATACAGTATGTGCACATACACAGTTACACACAAGCTCACCCATACGCACACAAGAAAACACACACAGTCACTGTGTCGGCAAATGTCAACGCAGCTTACTCTACCATGACGTTCAGTGTCGGATCAGATTGTGCTACTTTAGTGAACAGTACATTGGTCCCACGGGTTGCTTGGTGATTTTGTGTGTGTGTGTGTGTGTGTGGTTAGAGAGAGAGGAAAATAGACGGAGAACCATGATGAGATCTGTTGCATAAGGAGATGCAGTGGACTGTGAAAGAGAACAGGTGGCTCCTGTTTCTGCCATCTAGCTTTATGTGCCATCTTCCCCAATGTGTGTGTATGTTTGTGTCTTAGTGAGCGAGGGACAGAAAGATCTATAGCTTCTGAAGCAGGGATGTTTGCATACCTGCACATCTTCAGTCATTTGCATTTGTTACACTGCCCGGTGTGTGTGTGTGTGTGTGTGTGTGTGTGTGTGTGTGTGTGTGTGTGTGTGTGTGTGTGTGTGTGTGTGTGTGTGTGTGTGTGTGTGTGTGTGTGTGTGTGTGTGTGTGTGTGTGTGTGTGTGTGTGTGTGTGTGTGTGTGTGTGTGTGTGTGTGTGTGTGTGTGTGTGTGTGTGTGTGTGTGTGTGTGTGTGTAGTGTGTGTGTGTGTGTGTGTGTGTGTGTGTGTGTGTGTGTGTGTGTGTGTGTGTGTGTGTGTGTGTGTGTGTGTGTGTGTGTGTGTGTGTGTGTGTGTGTGTGTGTGTGTGTGTGTGTGTGTGTGTGTGTGTGTGTGTGTGTGTGTGTGTGTGTGTGTGTGTATGTGTTCTTTCGTGAGCAGGGTTCCGGTTGAATTAGAACAAGCTGCAGGAGCCCAGAGATATCGTTCTCCAAATGTCACCCAATTATCAATCTATACTGAACACTCAACTGTTCTGTCTCATGCTGCCTTCCTGTCTGTCTGTCTCTACCTTTCTGTGTCTCTGCACACTCTTCTTTTCAGTGGATAGTCCATCTAATAGTCCACAGCTCACTTTCACTGACAGACAGAAAGCAGAGTAAATGGTTACGTTTTATTAACATGTTTTTCCTGGTTGTCTCTGTCTTCCTCCCTCAGATCAGTCATCCAGGGCGGTGGTCAGGACTCGGCAGCAGCCTGGCTTCAAGGGACCGAAGGGTAGTGCGGGGTGTGGGGGCAGCACTCGGAGGGGACCTCTGTAATCAGCACCCCCCCCTCTACTATCCATCTCTGCACAGCCGCCCTCCTGCTTCGGAGAGACACACTGCCTGGGAGGAGCGCCATTGCCAGGGGATCTTGGCACAATCCACAGCCCGTAACCCTGCTACCAATCTGGCTCCAGGCTCCTCCTACTTCTCCTGCAACACTTCTGCAGCGTCAGCCCAAGCTTCACTCACTACTCCAGCTCAACTCCAAGCTTCACATCCGGGCCTAAGTCCAAATCAATGCCCAGGCTCCAGCTTAGCGGCTGCTAATCACACCGCAATTCCATCTCTGTCCTCCAAGCAGCCAGAGGGGGTGTCCTCCTCTTCAGAGTCCTTAACTCTTGGAGGTGGAGTGAGTCTGTCATGTGGGGCTAGGAAAGGGGGAGGAGAGCACCACCCCACTAGCCATATCCCTCGTGCAGCCGGGTCCAGCGCGTCCTCAAGCCTCCACAGTCTTGTAAGCAGAGGGAGCCCCTCTCCGAGCATCTCATCCTCCATCCAGGCCTCCCCTCCACCTTCTACTCCTTCCCCAGCATCCTCTTCTTCCTCCTCCTCTTCCTCCTCCTCCATGTTTACGGGTCGTTTAGGGCAACCTCCGAGAGGCCCTCTGTCTCTGCACAGCTACAGCCGTAAAAATGTCTTCCTCCAACATTCCCTACAGACTGCCGAACTGCAAGCTCTGACGCAGAGAGACAGTTGAGGGCACAAAAACATTTACATGATCCATATTGACTTTAGTGACAAAATGTGTGTCTTTAGAGAAAAACTGCTGCTCCTTTGGTACCAGTTTGCTTGTGTTTCACTGTCCCAATTCCCCCTGAATCATCTTCCACATGCGCTTACAATCATGCTTGTATCACAATCCAGAATTACCCTTTGCTGCCATTTTGTTCTCGGATTTGCTTGCTAAAACACACACACACACACACACACACACACACACACACACACACACACACACACACACACACACACACACACACACACCAGGCTGTGAGTTTGTCAAAAGAGGCACTCACCTGTCTATCAAAACACCCACGTTGTGTCATTCCAACAGTTTAGATGTGCTTACGCCCACTGACACACAAAGTGCAGAGAGACGCACCACTTCTTATCCATGCACTTAGACACAGATTTAGTCTCACACACACTTAGGAATACACACACACAGACACCATTTGTGAAATATTTGCCTCATAAACTGCAGATATAACAGGGTGTTAAAACTAAGTGCAAAGATGAGGTTCGTTTTTGTGTTTTTAAAGATTTGTTGTTATTCTTTTATTTGATGATTTTTTTATTTAAAAGTTGAACCATGTGCTGCTTAATGAATTATGTGACAGGTCATAATTTGCCCTGTTAAGATTATACTCTCACATTGCCAAATCCTTTATCCAATCAACTTCTCATTTCCCTTGATGTAAGCTGATGGAGGTCCAGAAGAAAATACATGTTTAGATGATCATCCAAATCCATGACCCTGATACTGCATGCTTTTTAAACTGTAAGGAGATTACAGGTGAGCATTTTGTACTGCAACAAAAAAGGGATATGGGTGACTTTGAAAGTCTTTTAATAACGTTTAATTATCAACTCTCTCTCTACTCAGTGTTTCAATAAGGGAATCAATCATGCCGAAACTTGTTAAACAGGAGTGTTTTGAGAGGTAAATGTTTGATGCATTAATAACACATTAGAAGTACTTTTGGCTTAATACTAGACCACTGTTTTTATAGAATCACAATGTCGCAAAATGTCACATTATATACAGGAGTCAATGTGTATCTGCAATGTTAGATTAGTACAGTACTGACATGTAAAGCTTCCTTTTAATATTAGATAGCAGCCATGTGAATCATTGGGCACTTATAATGACAAAAGAACACTGAGTAGCACAAAGTAATTAGCAGTACGGATCATTATCTAACAAAATAAAAAAACTTGTGCAAGATTTGGCACAACCAGCATTATGTATTTTTTGTAAGGTTTTGTAATGAAGCCAGTCAATTCTTCATCAGGGCTTGGTATTGGCCAGGGCTACCTACTGGTGCTTTGCTAAATGACAGAATCAATATTCATTTTTAGAATAAAAAATGAATATGGTTTCAAATAATGGCATTACAGTGAGCTGACATCCTGTTTACAGAGGCAAGTGAGGGAACACATACTGCACAGAAAGTTATTTACTTGATCAAATAGTGAAAGAAATAATCAGATTTGACAAACTATACCTTTTAAAAAAGCATCAGCACTGGGTTTCTGGCTGATACCCAGTCCTTATACCAGCCCTCTATTATCTTCCTGGTCTCAGATGTGTTCTTTTGAAAAACTGACCTAACACATAGCATTTGGTATAATAAGGCAGATCCCTATGTTATTTTTGGACAGTATGACTCATGCCTTTGAATAAGATTTACATATATTATAACTGCCATGACCTGCTGAGTTGTATCATTATTTACAATTTGGGAGCATGTGTCAACTTCAGAAATAACAAAACCACCTTTTTTTGAAATGTGAACAACTGGGCGGCAAAACAACCTCTTCACTCTGCAACTGTTGAATATATTTCCTCTGCCGAGTAAACTGTCCAACAGCCCTTTTTTCCACGTATACGTTTTGGGGTAAACAAATCTTCTAATGTCCAGCGGGAGCCGGGAGGCTACAATGCTGCTAAGTACAGGCCAGGAGTTCAGAAAATGTTAGACTTTATAGAAGTTGTTGCCCTTGCCTGTCTCTAAACAGCAGCTGGCTGAAGGGAGGCTGTATAAATGTGTGTGTGTGTGTGTGTGTGTGTGTGTGTGTGTGTGTGTGTGTGTGTGTGTGTGGGAGTAGGAATGTGTGTATACGTTCTGGTGGTCTGTTTCCAATGTACATTGTGTGTGTGTGTGTGTGTGTGTGGGTGTGGGTGTGGGTGGGTGTGGGTGGTAATGCATACCTCATGAGGCAAAGACCTGATAGAGGTGAAGAAAAGCCCAAATGAAGACAGCTCTGCTCCCACTGGTGGAAACTACTACTCTCCCTCTGGTCTGCTTCACTTGCAAACTATTCCCTCCCTTTTGTATTCTGTCTCTTCTATTTCTGTCTTTATTTCTTCCATTTCTTATTCCCCTTCAACATCTCCCTATACATTTCCCTTGTTCTATCCCCCAGCACCCCAGTCTACTGCATGCAAACTCCTTTTGTTCCTGTCCTCTTACTAAATCGGTTATCTTCCTCTCCCCACTATCATGTCCCAGGTCTCTCCTTCCCTCCTTCTCTTTCCCCTGCTTAGTGTACTAACCCAGGGCTTGTATTGTTATACAGTGTATCTGTAACACACTCTGTGCGGTGGCTCTCAGTCCTGGGCATTGGGGCCTGATTTTCATTCCAGCTGTCTAATCAGGGAGTCATTTTACACCGGGTGAATGCAATTAACTACCTGGTAGTGTAGACGGCCAGCAGTAATGTGGCTCCAGAGGACTTGGACTGTGAGGCGCAGCTGTAATAGGGAACTAAACATTCCCTGCTTGGCTTGTTTACATGTGGAGGATGACGATGCTGTGTTGCTGGCTGACCTCTTGAGAAATACTATTTACATCCCTCGTCAATGCGTGCATCATAATGCTGTTGACACTGTGAAATGTCATAGGGGGTTGTTTGGCTCTGTTTGCACTGCCCACTCAATTTATAATTAAATGTTGTTCTTTTTCAATGTGTTTCCAACAGCTTTGCTCATTTTAGCTGTGTTCATATTGGGAATCCATAAAATGTATGATGATTATGAGACTTGTGATGGCAGTTCACATGTGTCACTGAGGTTTTATTAAGACAACAATGCCTGTGTTAATGTAAGAATGAACTCATATTGAACTTCACCGCGTGGGAACTAGGGTCTACAATCATGAAATGGGGCACCTCACAGACCTCAATTCTTCCTCTCACTTAGCAGCATGTTGTGCATTTAAAAACCTACATTTTATTTTTTGGGAAGTTATTTATTGTTTTTTGCCTTACTTGTATTTATTGCCATAGAATCAGTTTCCTTCTTGGCACTAACAGATTTAAAAGTGGTCATGAAATGACAATTATAATAATCATGATGTTATTATAATTTTAATGAATCACATATATACTACTGTCCTAGCTTTTTACATGCTTACTGTAATTACGTTTATTTTTTCTTTACACCTTGCTATAATAATGAAATTGAACCGTAACATTGTACATAATTATTATAACTGTTAATGTTCAATGTTCATCGACACAAACGTTTCGTGCTAAATGACACGTACTGTAAGAATAGCGTCCACATACAGTACACTGTTTGTTGCCACATACAGCAGCCTGAAATAAAAGAAGGGAATTTGCTTTCGTTGAATAATGTCAAATGCAGTCAGAATTCTGAGCTCTTACCAAAGTGCTTGTGGCAAAAATTAATAATCAGAAAATGAATCTTATCAAATTAATATATGTAATTGTAAACTTAGACCCCATGCTCAATTTTTCATGTACAGGCAAGTTGATTCCTTCCTAGGTGTTGGGTCGCTGGTTCACCTTTTACCCTCTTTGAAAAAACCCAGCCTTTGCATTATGACTATTGTTGCTTCAGGTTTCTTTGAAAGAACATGACTTTGCAAACTTTTGCCTAACTGTGTCAGAAAAGTTGATGATCTATTAAAGCTGCTTTTTCAGTTCAGGCTGAAGTTGTGCGTTTAAGTATATAAAACTGTTGGGTAGATTCATACTGTAATCCTCTGACCGACTAGCCCATAAATGCATTTGGGGTAATCCAGGAATCGAAAGGTCTGTCTTCATATAGCAGATTTTCTTCACTTTACAGATTCCTAATGAGCAGTTTGTGTAGAATTGTTTGACGGGCGTATTCAGGTCTAAAAGCGTTGCAGTGTGTGTTTACCCAAAGTGTTTCTCTTTACTTTGCCAGTTGTTACACTCACTGTTCACATGAATAATGTTTTATCAAAATATTTTTGTCCTCGTCTCTTTATTGTTCATATTTAATATAAATAAACTGCTGGAAACTTTTGGGGAGATTATGATTTGATTGTGAATATTCCATCACTTTTCATTATAAAGTAAGGTGTGTCTGTAAAATGACATGGACACTTTGAAGCAATGAAAATGAAAGACGGATTTTGCAGCCACCAAAAGAAGCAGTGAATAATAAAGCGGTGGATCTATGGGACTGAGGCTCCATCTCTCAGGCAGGGTAGATTTCATTGTACAGTTCTCTAAAGAAAGGAATGAATGAAATCAAAGGGTGGAAGTAGAATGAACAACAAAGCGATGAATAAAGAATCTTAAGGGCCATCAATCTAAAAGACTGAGGAAAAGTTTTCCAGCTTCATCACTTGAGTTGACTCTAAAAGGTTGTGCACAGCAGTGTGTGCAGACAGAGGTAACTTTACCTTATTTGACATTAGCCTCTAACCTATTTAGTACATTTTCATTTGGCAGTGGCCATGTGAATGTTTAGAAAATCAATTACATTACACATTTCTATGCATGCTTATATGTGTGGGATTTAGACTTTGACTGTTTACCCCTAAGGGAAAACCTGTGCATGTTTCTCATTTCTGGAGTCACTCAATTATCTTTGGTGAGGTAATGAATTTCTGACTAGCAGACATAGAAAAACACACTGGATTAGAAGCCATCAAATTGATAATAACTTGTTGTAATTTATACGACTGAAGGTCAACACATCAGTAAACACATTTCTTATTAACAGAGCTTTGAAGTCGAAAGAGATCAATGAACAGACAGTACGTGTATTTATTCTGTTGATGGGAGCCCTCACTGCAGCTGGAAAATGAACATCTTTGGGGATTTTTATGCAGTCCAAAAAGTCTAGTGCTTAAAAATTACATTGATTTGTTTACAATAAGACTACACTCTTAAAAAAAATACACCGGCTCTACTTAAATAAATTGAGGTAACAATTTGCGTTGATCTTTTTATGTATTTCCAATTTGATCGATTATTAAATTAATCCGAATACCATTTATAATCTGATTAACTCAATTAGTTCATTACTACAAACATAATTGCTTTCACCTTTAAAATCTAAATTAAGTTGAACCAACTTAATTTTAATTGTAAAGATGGAGTGATAGTAAGTTTCATTTTGTTTAATTTAAGCTATTGTAATGTATTTATTTAAGTCCACACTAATCAAAAATGTCCATGCAAATTGTTACCTTAATTTCTTTGAGTATTAGAAACACATTTCTTTGAGACAAAAATAATATACGCATTTAAGTTCCACTTGTTAACAGTATATTTTAAAATGTTCTTTACACAATTACCTTTTTATAACAAATGTTCTCAAACATGAAATACAAGTAAATAGAAAAATTAAAATAAAGGCATGAACCTGCTTCAACGTTTTTAACATCTATTTTGGTAGTTCAGGTTAAGTGTGTATATTAGCCCCATCAGCATCGCACAGGCTCTTGTCGCATCCGAGATTTGAAGGACCTTCCTTCACTAATCTTGCATCATTGCTAACTTCCACTTCACCATCCTGGAATAAGTAGATTAGAAAATAAATATCAGTGTTTTTGGTGCAATCAGATTTGAAAACATTGCATTGTGTTTTACAAGTTACAGTATGATTTAAGCATCGTCTTTACTTAATTTAGTTTTCCTTGAAGAGATCCTCCTTTTCACGAAGACACACCACCAAGCAACGGATAGCAACCAATTTTATTCTTTCCACCGAATCATCCTTAAAAGGATAACATTTGAATGTTGAGAAAGAAAAACAAAGGCTTGTTTGCAAAACATGAACATGCCGGGCATTTTCAGTTGTTTCATATTTATTTTAAATTAGTTTTTATCAAATGTAATGTTAATTCTAACAAGAAAAAAAATATATATATATATAGGGTCAAGGTGATCTGTGATATATATATATATATATATATATATATATATATATATATATATATATATATAT